AGTCCCATTTTGCCACTCGTTAGCAACCAACTTTTTCAAGACATGTAAAAGCTTAAAAAATCATGAGTGGAGTATTATTGATCTGTTTTATGTTATAATGTATGTTATATAACTGAAGATGAATCTGGGTTTTAGGACTCCTGCAGCACTATTGTAAAGTGTTACCACATTGCAACAGCTGTTTGACTATTGGTAAACATTAACAGGCACGACCTAGATGATGTCAGCAGTCAAAGTAAAGTTGTTTTGGGTGGAGCAATGATAAAAGATTACAAAAATCATCTGTGGAATAATATATGCTGATGGTTGCGCACAGTAAGACCAAACAACATGCGTTCATTCTGAGTTCATGTTGACTTTAAAAATCACACTACCTACTTCAGACTTCTCAGAGTGGACTGGAGAAGTAGAAAAGAACAAGGTTATAGTACATGGTTTTTCTGACAGTACGTTTGCTTTTAGAGCCACTGTAAACATTACTTGGTTTAAACCAATCAGAATCGACAAAATAAAGCATACAATGATCTCACACAGCGTGCACTACTACTCAAACCGAAGTTCAGCAGATTTTTTTTTTAGAAACTTAAGTGTTGTGCCTTTCAATTCTTGTTGTTCCTTTTAGAAGAATGTCTGTTTTTAGATTTATTTCTTGAAGTAAAACTTCCTGTTTGGAAATGCAGTATGAAGCACCCTCTTTTGACAGATACCTTGAACCAAAGTCTCCAATTAGGTTCTATTTTGAAGTCCACTATGTGGATTGTTCTGGAACCATAAGATAGTTGTCATGGTCCTACAGTATATGCCATTTAAAAATATAGCAATATCTAGAGTAATAGTTCCGATGTTCAAACTGGGTGTCGATAGTGAGTGTTGTCATTTTATGCCTTTGAATTTGTAGTCAGATCTTTATTGACTATTGTTGATATTAATACCGACATTGAAAAGTGAACTGTTTTGTTATAGTTGTTTTTCAGTGCTAAAATGTTTCCCAGTATGTAATCACATTATGAATTTTGTTATATTCAGTTGAAAATGCTGAGTTCCTTGCACAAGGGGAAATAAAGGTCACGCTCCTTGAGTGAAAACATTTGAGTGACATTTTTGTGCATACATGTCTCGCATCACATTACCTCATTTCTGACTATACACACAGAAAGATAATGGCCTTTCATTGCTTAATAGAATTTTGAGACATAAATACTGTATGTTTTAAAGGGGTCATATGATGTTGCTAAAAAGAACATTATTTGGTGTATTTGGTGTAATGAAATGTGTTTATGTGGATTAAGGTTAAAAAAAACACATTTTCCACATACTGTACATTATTGTTTCTCCTCTATGCCCCGCCTTTCTGAAACGCATCGATTTTTACAAAGCTCATCGGTCTGAAAAGCGAGGTGTACGCTGATTGGCCAGCTATCCAGTGCGTTGTGATTGGCTGAATACCTCAAGCGTGTGACGGAAATGTTACGCCCCTTACCATACTGTGATGCCGTGTCCCGGCCGGAGCGACGAGACAAAAACATTAAAACCCATTATAAACGAGACATTTGTTGCATCCAGTGGGGACATAATTACGGATTATAATGACATATACTGTCTTTTTACGCGTTGCATAAGCAGTTGCGTTACGCGTTGCATACACGATCCACAACGCGAAGTTGATATTTCCTCAGCAACCAGCACGGATCAGCTCTAGGCATGACGAAGCGGATATCGTCCTCTTTTGGAAGGCCAAACAAAGTAGTTTCACAACGAAACACACAGTGCCTTCACGACATGGCGGCAGCAGCAAGAACACTACAGCGAGAATAAAAGTTACACCTTTCTTTGCGTGAACATTTGGGCGGCGTTATGCAAATCTTCCCACATCGTGACGTAGGTATGTGGGGGCGTGTTAGAATGAGCCGTTTTAGGTAGGCGTGGTTGACTCTTAACTTTTATAAAGAATATCTCTTTGGATTTGAGACTTTAGTCTTTGCAACTTTACAGATCTTCTTTATGCACCAAGAGCTTGTAACACTTCAAAGAGAAAGGAAAAATTGAAATCGCATCATATGACCCCTTTAAGGGACAATTCACCCAACAAGGAAAATTCTGTCATCATTTACTCACCCTCATTTTGTTACATGGTCATGACAGGAGTTTGGATATTATACAAAGCTCTTTTAAAAAATTGATTACATCCGATTTTTTCCAAACTTTAGTATAATGTTATCCATACATTTTTGGTCAGTTTGAGAATTTAGTCTGTACAGCATAGATGGACAGAGACGGATTTCTCCATACAGAATCCATATGATATCATAAACTTCATGCAATTAAATAAGAATTCTCTCACCACAAGTGACAGAAATAATTTTTTTCCATTAAGGAATCTAAAAGGTTTTCCAAGGGGCATTTTTCTAACCTTTTTAAATATTGGCTATGCATCAGTTTTGTCAAATTCTAAAATGAATTGATCCATTTATTCAGAACAAAACACTATGGCTATTACAGAGGAAACCCTTCTTTGCAATGCAGAGGAAGCACAGAAGCTGAATCTGGCATTTAGATGTAATTTCACAGACTGTTGATGCAGCTCAGAGGGGGTACAAGTGAATTTATACAGCAAAAATAAGATTAAAGTATCAACTATAAAAACTAAAACCAGCAGTAAATGGCAGCAAGACTTCTGTGAGTCACTGAGTCATTTGATTTGTTTAAAAGGACCGATTCATTATTTCCTCAATTCGTTAAACACAAAAATTCATTCAGGAACTGTCTGTTGCTGTCTGCAAATTCAGAGCTAGGCAAATAACATGTCTTTTGTCAATAGCAATGATTAAACAATCTAGTTTTATGTTTCTTGTATTTTAATTTCTTGTCAGCATGTCGCACGATAGATCTTAAAGGGATAGTTCACTCAAAAATGAAAATTCTGTCATCATTTTCTGAACTTCAAGTCATTCCAAACCTGTATGAGATTCTTTCTTTTGTAGAACACAAAAGAAGATATTGTGAAGAATGTGGTAAACAAAACATTTATTGTAGCCACAGACCTTTTTTTTTTTTTTTGGTTACCACATTCATAAAAATATATTTTGTGCCCAACAGAAGAAACTCAACATGAGGGTGCGAAAATGACAGAATATTTCTTTTTGGGTGAACTATCCTTTTTAACTAGAGCTTATTGAACCTGGAACGAAAAAGCTGTAAATAAGCCATATGATGCAGGCAGTTTATCACTGGTGTAAATTGTAACATAAGCTGTAGAAATGTTGCAAAAATCATGCAAACCCGGGAACAGCCAGTGTGTGAAATGTAACGTTATACATAGCTGCTGAATGAACAGCATAGAGTTCAATGTGTTGCATAGAGCTGGTTAATTTCCCCTGATGATTAATCTGGGCAGAATGGCACTAACACTCAAAAGGTGAGTCGTTATGTTCCAGCTGTAAACGGTTCATCAGCAGGCATGACAGCAGCAGCTCCACCATTCAGACTCCAGAGAAAACAGCTTTGTCAGAACAAACGCTCAAAGCCATGACGGCTCTCTCAGGCTGTTAGACCTTGCATGCCAGTTGTGTAGCGGTTTTAAAATCTAATAAACTGTAGTGATGAGATCTTGATTTGAATGCAGTTTTCCAAATGAAAATCTAATTTTTTTTATCAGTTGGGACTGACAGGCTTTAGTTTATTTACCAAACTGAGTCTACCAATTATGCGAGGTGACGGGTTAAAAATAAACCAAACACGCTCTCTCAAAGTAGGGATCTTTCAGAAGGATCTGCAGAGCTGCTGAGGCTGACAGACTTCATTTCTCATCACTTAGCTCTTTTTTTGTTCAGTTTTGTAAATAAAATGAGAAAAGTTGACAGTACAATTAAAAAGAGGAAAAATGTGACATTTAACAACATAATAAATATCAAAACAATATCAGTACAACAGACTTGTTGCTTTCATATTTATACACCACCCTACAAAGCTATTTAAAATCGGCAACGAAATCAATTTGATTCAGATCCAGACCATTTTGTGTATGTGGAAATTCCCCTTAATATTAAAAACACTATAGATATGCTTTCACATATCCATTGAGATACTGAAACATATGAAATCCACCCAGTTGTAAAACTGTATTTAGTGTACATGTAATATATGATGAAATTAACAGAACATTTGCATGCACTACTTATCAAATGTTTGGGGTTGGTAAGATAGTTTTTTTCTATTATGCTCACCAAGACTTCATTTATTTGTTTGTTTGTGTATGTTTTTTTTTTTTAAGTAATAACAGTATTATGAAATATTATTACCATTAAAAATAACTTTTCTATCTTCATATATTTAAGAAAATAATTTATTCATGTGATGGCAAAACTGAATTTTCAGCATCATTACTCCAGTCTTCAGTGTCACATGATCCTTCAGAAATCATTCTAATCTGCTGATTTGATACCCAAGTGAAATTTACTGTTAATATTGAAACCAGTTGTTCTGCTTAATATTATTGTGAAAACCATGATACATATTTATTCAATCCAATTTTAAGACAACAGCATTTATATGAAATAGAAATTGTATTATGTCTTTACTGTTAATTTTGATCAATGTAATGCATCCTTGCTGAAAAAAAAAAAATTACAAAAAAATTAAATTTGATCTCTCCTGCCATTACCTCACTGTGGCAGGGCAAGTTCCTGGTAGCTGTGCTTTAATGAATTACATGAGCAATTTTCAGAAATTCAACCAGCTGCTTTTGCAGTTTATAGTTTAGGGTTGTTGTTTTTTTCCCTCTGGAGAGAAGAGAAGTTTTGAGTTCTGAGAGTTGAGTGCACTATGAAAGCCTACTGCAAAAACTCATTTCCAAAGATGAAGGAAATCTGATTTCTCATGATACGCCTCCTTCAATAAACAGCTCTGCTGCAATCCACTCCCAGCTTAGACACATCCTCATGCTTTATTGCGTTTTACTGTATATGACCTGATGGATTACAGAAGGTCCACACACAGTGAAATGGGGTTATATAACGTTCTTTATTGAGTTCCCTTCTATCAAGGGCAATGTGACCATATTCATATAAAACCCGAAGCACATTCTAATGACACTCTTAACATAGAAGATACTACTATACTGACTGCACTCTAAAGCTGAAGAAGAATCAGACAGTCAACATCACAGGCAAAAGCAATGTGTTAAGGGAGGGAGTTTAAGATGCCCTGTGATTAATGAGCTTCTCAATATACTGACCGTCTATGGAACCTGTGTGCAAGAGGCATGCAGATGCATTCATATAAAGGACGCAAGTTAAGCGTCTTTTTAAAAACGAAACAAAAAGAGAAAATGTGCAACACGGTCAATGGCACAGAAAGGAGATGCTTGCCTTCTGAAGATAAAATAGGCAGTTTTGGAAAGCCCATCCTCTGTTATAACAGTTACAGGAAGCAGATGGAAATCTGTCATGGTCCCTTTAAGAAGATAAGCACTTTGAGAATAGGGGAACAGTATCAGAGCCCGCCACTAAAGAACGGACATGCGGCTAGTGTTTTATGGGGTCTTGGTTCAACAACAATCAGTGTAAGACAGAGCACAGGAACAGTAATCAAATGATAGGTGCAGTAGTGATTCGCCCCTCTGTCATGCTGTGCGCATACATGGGTCAACTCTTAAAATCAGCACTAAGAGCAAAGGTGATTCAGTCAATCAGATCAGATGACTGACGTTAAATCTGGACAACCGATGCCTCAAAACATCTATATTTTTCTAAACCTATGATGCTTCATTACATAGTTAAGCGGATAGTAAAACGCCATCTAAGTGTGTGACCCCAGGCTGAGGGTTAGCAAGTGAAGATACACAGAGCAAGAGGGCTCAGCTGGAAGATCGGGTGAGAGAATGAAGAGCAAGATGGTTTGTTTGGTAAAGAGTTGAACAAAACACTGAGAGAAGCCAAGTATCCCTAAAACATTTCTTACTGAGAAGGAACGGAGCACATTGTTTCTCCATAAACAGTCCAGTGGATGATCCTAGATGTCAATAAATACAATGGAGGTCAACTTGAGAGATGGGTCTTACGTTCAGCAAAGAAGGTATATTAGGCCAGGGAAAGAACTGTAGGGAGAGAGCAAAAAGAAACGTCAGAACTGTCTGTTTTTCATATTAAATTAAACACATTTAAGTCTTTAGTTTTTTAACTTAAAGGGGTCATATGATGCTTTTTTAAAGATCATTATTTTGTGTATTTGGTGTAACAGAATATGTTGACATGCTTTAATGGAAATGTAACGCCCCTTACTCGTCGGAAAACTCTCGCTCTCCCTCGCGCGCTCTCTCTCTCTCGCTCGCTCTCTCGCTCGTGCATCTACTTCTGGAAGGCCAAATAAAGTGCTTTTGCTTTCGCACTGAAACACACAGCGTCTGTCTGACATGGCTGCTTCAACATTACTGCGGTTACTGAAACCACGCCTTCTTTCTTTGCGTGAACATTTGGGCGGCATTATGCTAATATTTCCACATAGTGAGGTAGATATGTGTGGGCGTGTTAGAACGAGCCGTTTTAGGGGGGCGTGGCAGAGTCTTAACTTTGATAAAGAATATCTCTTTGGATTTGAGACTTTAGTCTTTGCAACTTCAGGGATCTTATCTATGCACAATCAGCTTGTAACACTCCAAAGAGAAAGGAAAACTTGAAATCGCATCATATGACCCCTTTAAGTGTTACATAATGCTGAGTCATCAGTTTGCAACGATGCAGGTTGTATTTAAGAATGATAGTAGCTTTTTGGATTGCATCAACAGTTGCACAACACTCGAGAGCAGCAGTTGCAGAACTCACCACTGATGGCCTCTTGGGCGAAATATTTCACATCCATGTCTTGATCTGATGCAAGTTTCTCCAGTACTGGTTTCACCTCTGTCTGCAGACAGCTGTAATCAAAAAATACAAAATGAGAGACATAATGCTGAAGTGAGTCACATTAAGAGAAATGTGAGTATTGTATAAATGCGGATGAACACATACTTGCTGTCCAGCACAGGTCCAATCTTCTGAAGAGACTTGGCCACATTGAAGCGTACATTGGCTACCTGGTCATTGGACATCTTGAAAACTACAGGGAGCATGTGTTTGGTGGTAATCTCCTGTCCACACACCTCTGACAGAGCCTAAAACAGACCGTTACACACATCAGTGCTGCTGCAGGGGTTAAAGATGAAAGATTCCCCCCGCAATTTTTATAGATTGCAATAATATCATCATTGTAAATTCTTTTGGCCACGACAATCATGTAGTGAAAATCTAATATCAATCATGAAAACTGATAGCAGCCAAATACTATTTCATGGATGATGCACCATACTGCAAAGAGAATATGAGACAGATTTTAATATATTTTAAGGTCAAAATGTCCATCAAACTGCGCTTTTCCACCTAGTGCATCAGCTCCATACATTCCTCTGTGACTCAGCAGCTGTTTGTTAAAGCTGATAAGCTCTGACTCACATTAATGCAGAAGAGGGTAGTCATCCTGTGCAGGTAGTTGGGGTCATTAGCCATGCCCAGCACTTTGGGCACAATGGTGTTCTGTGCCCACTCTGCTCCAAACTTCTCCACCAGCTTCATCAGGTTACAGGTGGCTGCCTCTCTGATGGCATATACTGAAGATCACAGAGACCAAAGTGTTAGACCCCTGACAGACTCCAACACATTATAACAGCTATTTCTATTTTTTTTATTTTTTCTATTTGTGTTACAAGCAAACAATTGCAAAAATAACTAGATTTTTTACCTCTCACATTCAACATTACGGGTAAGAGCTGAACATTTTAAAAGGAAATTATGAACGTTCCTTAGAAGTAACCTACCATGATCGACGAGCCACGCCATACACAGAGAATTGAGTTTCTCGTCGAAGAACTCTACACCCTGGAAGCACGAGAAAGAGAGAAAAAAAAAGGATACCTCTTATAAGTTAGATTAGCTTACACGACCCAAGACGACAAGGCAGCAATAAACTAACAGGATGATTAGTTAAATGCTTTAAACTGTTAAGAGAGACTGAAGAATGAGAACTGAATGATGGAATATTCCGAACTCTAGTTTAGGATAAAGCATTCTAGGACACTGACGGTCGGGACTCACCAGCTGTCCAGCAAGAAGGGGCATGTACTCAATGATTGCCAGTCGCACTCGCCATTTGGCATCCTCAGCTAGCTCAACAATAGCCGGAAGCAAAGACTGGGAAAGCTGGCGGATTCCAATCACCTCGTTCACGCAGTCCAAGTTGGAGATGATGTTGAGGCGAACCTCTGGACACTACAGGAAGGACATGACAAAAATGTTAACATTCCAGACAACATGCTAAAAAAATAACCAATAAAATTGAGTGCCGTTATTAGCAAGTACGACTATTACAAATATTTTTGTTTAATTGAAAAAATATATATAAATATTAGATGCAAAACTTAGATGCAACTAAATAAAATACTAAAGCTAAAACAAAAATTAAAAGGGTGGTTGATTGCGATTTAACTTTTTTAATGTTAGTGTGTAATGTTGCTGTTTGAGCATAAACAATATCTGCAAAGTTATGACGCTAAAAGTTCAATGCAAACAGAGATATCATCTTTTAAAATTATGGCAGTTTAATGTCTACAAAAACGGCTTGTAGGGACTACAACGAGTTACTTCCCGGGTTTGTGACGTCACATACCCAGATAAACCCCGCCCCCGGGAACATGCAGCAAAGGGGGCGAGGCCATGCTGCGCTGCTTTAGAGAAGAGGAAGAGAAAACTAGAGGTGCACGTAAAAATCTATTCATATATGAATCTTCACGAATATCAAAATCAATGTTCTAAAACAGCGGTTCTCAATCCTGTTCCTCTAGTCGCCCTGCTCTGCAAACGTCCTGCATCTCTCTCTCTCTCTCTCTCTCATTCAGATCATCAGCTCAGCTCCAACAATGAACCGTTCCATTTATACTAGAGGTCGACCGATGTATCGGTTTTGCCAATTAATCGGCACCGATAGTTGATTACTGGAACTATCGGGTTTCTGCAAAAGTCCATACCGATAGTTTTTGGAATTATTGTTGCTTGTTAGAGTGTATTAATTTCAACATTTACTAATAGATTTAAACATTTTAAAGTTTCATTGACTGAAGTTTACATTAATGAACTAAAATTGATCAATGTACAATCATTATTTAATTTTAATATTTGTTACTCA